AAGTAACACAGCAGTGCCCTGACCTCATGGCCTATGCAGGCATACAGTGGGCATTATTATACTCGAAAGTTTACTCTTTTCTTTTTTTTTGGAGACCCAAATGCAAGAAAAAAAAAAAAAGAAAACAAACCAAGCGCTGACAAAGTGAGAAAGTAACATTCTGGAGCCTTCTCAGTCTGCATGAAGTGTTTTTCTACTGTCTGACAGGCTCTTTGGAAAAACAGATAAGCACTGAACCTACTGCTTGACCGTCTGTCTGTCTTTCTGTCTGTCTGTCTGTCAGTTTGTCATATATGCAAGAGTCATACATAGAGACACTTTCTCATTTTTGCCGACTGCAGCGCTGACCTCCACCATCAACCTGCGCAGCAGTTTGGACTTCATACACTTTTGCAGCCGACTCCAAAACGTCCCGGCTGCTCTGGCCAAACTGTCTCTATGTAGGGCTCCGCCTGCCTCTGCCTGTCTGACTATATGCATCCAACTGTCTCTGTTTCTTTCAAGCTCATTGCTTCTTCTTCTTCTTTTCTTCTGTTTGAGCCTGGGGAAGGGTGCATGGACCAACCTCCATGGCAAAGGAATGTCTCTATGCACGCATACACCACAGAATGCAGCTTGAAGTGCAGTCATAGACCTTACTCTGATGTTTGTTTTCAATGGGGATGAGTGAAGGAGAGAGAGAGAGAGAGAGAGAGAGAGCTCTGACTCAGCATGACCTGGCTGCCTCTCTGCGTGTATGTGTGTGTGTGTGTGTGTGTGTGAGACAGGGCTGACACCTGAGTTTGGCTCCAGCCTTCAAACCAATCACCTTCTGTTTCTAGCATTATAACCAATCAAATACACTCTTCTAACCCGTCAATTCTCTGTGGCGACATCTTTCAGTTTCGCAAGACTTGTTTTAATCCATAACTCCTGCAGCGAGGTCATCAGAAACACTGTCTTCTCATCACTTCCACTCACTCTGCTCTCTCCTCCTGACTGTCACTGCTGCACGGCCGCAGTACTACCGGCACACACTCGTGTGTCTATCTGTGTGTGTGTGTGTGTGTGTGTGACAGAGATGCCGACTGACTCACTGTCTGCCTGTCATCATGGCTGTGCCTCTCTACCAAACGCCATCTGTGATTGACAGCAGTGTGATGCATGCAGACGTCCCAGTTCCAGGCTGCACGACCTGGAGACAGACCATACCTCGCATGTCTGTGTGTGTGTGTGTGTGCGTGTGTGTGGTCACTGCGATAGGTTCTTGGCAGATTCCTATTTTACTGCACATTAAACTAACTCACTCACCATATCTGCTTCTTCTCTTATCACACCTAACCTTAGTGGTCATCTGTGTGTATGCATGCACGTGATCCAGTATGGTGAGGTCTGGGTGTTTTCCTCAAGCATACTACATCACACCTGACATACATGCACACACACACACACACACACACCATGCGTGTCTGTAAGGTGTTTGCAGCTTCTGTGGTTTTTGTGATGGTGGCTACTGAACTGTCCTGTCTCGTGGGAACTGATTGGTGTGCAAGAACTGACAAAAAAAAACAGGTCATTATTATCCAACTCCTTTTGTTTTTTATTTTGTTTTTCATTTGTGTGTGTTGGAGACCTACGGGGTCAGGTGGATAAATGTCTTAGTGTTCTCACAGCTTCTTTGGGTTGGAGAACAAGTCCAGGGATTTTGAGGACATGGACACAGAATCCATGTGATGGAAACTCTACATCAGATTGTGGCCTTGCCTCAACTCTCACAAAGTTTGCGAGATACGTGTTTCAGCTCGTTGTTACTCCACATGTGGGTCTTTCTTATTTTCTCTTCTATTGTCTGGAATCGGTCGCTCACATAGTCACAGTCACACCATGAGAACATGGTTTTAGTCTTTATGACATGAATCTATTTCAATTTTCCAAATCATACAGAGTAAGTCCAACTGGATAGATGTCACAAGACATAACACTGAAATAATTTTGCAACTTGAACATTCAAAAATGATAGATGTTTTTTTTTTTTAGTATGAAATTGTCAGGCCAAACTTGGAGCAATGACATGGCAAACCAACTGTTAAATTGAGTCAAATGTTCCAGTAATAGTAAAAATGTCACACCAGTTTCAACCAAACTGAGTACAATGTACCTTTAAATACAACGTATCCATTAAGGATCCAATGTATCATCAATCACTAATCCAAATATTATGTTTTAAATAACTGCAAAAACTGCATATGTCGTATGGCCGTAGTTATCTCGCTACATGTTTAATTGTCAACGTGATTAAAGTTACTTTCTATAAAGTAAAGATTCTAAAAAAAAATAAAGGTGATTCTCACTTGTTTTATAACACAAATAAACATTTACCAGAGGTTTTAGTCTCAGTTTAGGGGATCCAATAAATGTGATTTTTTTTTACCATACTCAGACATTTCTATGTTAGATTCACATGAATAATATAACTAATTAATTGGATGTCGTATTTGAATTGACAGTAGCCACCTGATCCTGTGTGTCCATTCATTTGTCTGTCTGTTTGTTTGCCTGTCTGTCTGTCTGTCTGTCTGCTGAAGGACACAAGACTGTCTGCCTCTGGGTTTCCCTGATTCCCCACCAGTGTCTTCATGACTGACTCTCTTTCTCGTGCTCTCCTTCTCTCCTTTCTTCCCTCCCTCTTTCCTTCCTCCTTCTTTTTGATAGATGCGAGTGGTGAAAGCATTCCGTAGTTCGCTGTATGAGGGCCGGGAGAAACCAGACTCCCGCAACTCCATCCACAACTTCATGGCCCACCCGGAGTTCCTCATCAACGACCTCATCCACAACATTCCACTGATCGATGACACCGACGTGGACGACGAATCAGAGCATAGCAGATACCAACACCTGCACCCGGCCCTCCGCAAGCCACCGCCGCCTCCCACACATCCTCAGCCCCCAACCCGCAATCGCCCCACCCGCCCCTATCGCCAGTACAGCCTCCCAGTGACCCCGTGCAACCGAAACAACAACAACAGTAACAGCAGCAGCAGCAGCAGCAGCAGCAGCAGTTCATCTGTCACCCACTGCAACAGCAGCACCAATGCAATTACTCCCAACGACCGGAGCCTCCATCACCACTATCAACACCAACACCAACACCATTGCCACCATGGCAGGGACAGGCCAGTCAAACCCTCTGGCCCTTATCTGGCCCATCTCTACTGCGTGGAGACCTCCTTATAACTGATATGACTGTGGGTCTGAGTGGGTGTGGGGAGATGTTCTGGGGTACGGAGTCTTGATCAAGGGGAAGAAAATGGCATGAGAGAGAGAGGGCCGACGACATACGCTGACACACACAAACACAGATATATGACATTTTCATATACATCCACGTACAACAAGCTAACAGGAAGGGGGTAAAGGACGAAGGGAGGTTCAGGAGGGAGTGAACAATGGCCAGAGACTTCTGCTTGGAAACTCCCAGAGAACATTACAACTTTGCCTCTCCTTTGCCCTCCGGTCCTGGCCCTCTCAAGTCTGAGCCTCCTTGAGACAAACAGCCACCCCACCAACTAATCTCTCTCCACCGTCAAACCATCCATCAACCTTGCTGAAGAACCCATACACCTCATTTGCCTTGCCTGACCTCATGCAGACTTTTCACACACACGCTGTGATGTTGGTTAATAACAAAGGCAGGGACAGATGTCCAAAAAAAAAATGAAACCATAACAAAACAAACAAAAAACTGAAAAAGGCATCTCTCAGTGCTTCACTCATGAAGCCGTGACTGACTCACTCTGCTTCTATTGGTGTTCATCTTCAGTGTTATAAACCACATAACTACCCCCCCTCCTCCCCCCACCTGCCACGGCACCTTTGTCACCACTGCCATCATAATCATTTATATACAGCCACTTTAACGTCACTCCCACTGCTTGTGCTGTAAGGCTTCGTTAGGCTAACTATAACTTTGCTCATTTTCGTCTTCTGACTCGCTCATTCTCAGCATAAAGGTGCTCATTTCTTTTCCTTTAGGTCGGTTTATTACTTTGATTTCCCCCTTCTCTCTAATTGTGTTTTTTAATCACCTCTTTCTCTAATTATATGTGTATGTGTGTGTGTATTGTCTTGTCTTTTGTAGGGGAAAAAAACGAACAAAACCAGAACAGGCAAATAGTTGCTGTTCACTGAAACCTAATAGTGAAGAGAAAGTTGGGTAATAACTGATAACTGACAGACTGCAGACGTCTGCCCCGTTCTAATCTGCCACCTCTGCCGACAGAACACTGCAGGGAAATGTTGATTCATATTTGCAAAATATAAAAAGCTATTTGAGAAATGCAGTCACTGGAGATGAGATAGAATGTGATCAGCATTAGCTGTCACTGTGCAGTCTGTCCTAGAGGGGGCAGAATTTTGCAATGTGTCAGTTAAATCTGTGGGATGCAAAACAATGTCATGAGCTTTTCATATCCATCCACTATGTTATATTCTGTCCCTAACACGCATGGCCCTTGAATGCCACCCCGGGAGTGTACATGATCTGTTGTATCCGTTGTTTTGGGCACATAAATACAACAGTCCTGTATACGGCACCAACCTCATAGCCTGCTCCCAAACCCTTTGGTATGATGGAATAATCCATGGGCCTCATGTGGGCATGAGGACATAAATCATGTCCAACTCTTTCTTCCTGTTCCAGTCATTTCTTGTGCTGCACGTCTGGTCTCTTGTCAGTGGGTGTGGTTGTGTTCCTGCTTTTTTTTTTTAAGTAAAATTTTTTTTTAAAAAAGCTGGATGCATGTGGAGCATTAACCCTTTAAAATGCCATCTCACACACAATGCACAGACGATGGCCCTTTAAAACTTCACATGCACTCACTTCCAGGCTGCTCATCTGTCTTTGCGTCACAACTTCACTCAGACTCTACTTGTTGTTTCTTCAGGCAAAGAAAAGAAAAAGAAAGTCACTGCTTGATGCTTCAAGACGGCTGAAGAAATCAGACCCAGTGTTAGCACTAGCCTGCGGCACTCGAGTTTACTCTAGTCCACTGATGTGTTCACTCCGTGTGTTGATTAAGACAGCTTCAAAATAACAGGTAAACATTGTTTGGTTAAATATCCAGATTTCTTCTTATGCTGAGTTACAATACCTTCCCAGGATGTAATCTCAGCTGAACCAATAGGAGAACAGCTGACCTTGACCTGTCAAGATCTTCCAAATTATGTAGTTTCTATGTGCTATAACAAATCAAATCAGCATTGTTTCAAAATTGCGCCAAAGACGGTCACATAGTGATGCACAACGTAACAGGGACCAACTTTAATATGGATGGTGTTACACTGTGAAATCCCTTCTAACATTGCATTGACAAGTTTCAACCAAAAAGTGGTCTATTCTAGCTTTAACTCAGCAGTGTGTGTGTGCACACAATTGGGCTTTGTCAAAAAAAATTTAGAAGATGGAATGTTAGAATCTGACAGAAAGCTGTGTGTGTGGAGTAAATTGTGCCTGTTCAGTCTTGTCAGAGAGGTTTGGTCAGCTCTGTGTGAAGTGCAGAAAGAGTATCAGCCAAAATGATTACAATGAAAAGACAATGAGATGCTCTTCCTGTAGAAATGGCTTAAGAAAACAGGTACCTGTCCTTTATATAATGAGATGCTAATCAGCTATGGGAAGTCAGCAAATAAGACACTGGATTATTGACCGTACTGTACTGAAGCTGTCTGTGATCAGATTACACACAAGACAAAACAAATAAAAACATTTAAAAATCCTCTATCCATGTGACACCACATCAACATTCCATATGACATACATTCCAGACTGGGTGTGAGAGTGCACTCCTGTATCCCATGTTGCACTAGGTGTGGGTGAACCTGCTGACTCCATGTTGCCTCAGAGTGTGACTGCAATACAATAACACAAACCTGGACACATTCCACATCCATCCACTGGTTCATCCCATCCAACCCTCCCTCTGCTTTTCCTCAGGCGTCTCCTCCCTATATTCCTAAATTATCGACCGCTCCCCTTACCACCACCAGAGAACGCTAATGGGCAGACAATATGCAACAGACTGCCTTACCCACAGCTGTTCCCTACAGTAGGCTAATAGAGCTGCTGTCAGACATGGATGGTGGAGAAAGAACATGTCTGTCCTGCTATAGTTCTGGTCCAGGATGTGTGCAGGGCTCTCTGGGAACAAAATACCCTTTCCTGTACAGAACTGTGTCTTGAATGCTCATCATCATCCACGTCACCACCCTGACCGGAGCCGTGGTAGAGGGCAGGTGGGTGGTGACATTGTATTGCTCTGTCTGTTTTAAAGCATGCATTTTGGAAATCATTAATGTCACTCTTTATGTGTTGGTAAACCATTTAGGCTACTGTCTCTCCCACTACTGTGTGCTATAATCTTTCCACTTCTGCTGTCTCTATTGAAAACAACTTGAATCTATATAAGTGTGAAGACACTCATGAACATAATGCAATTATCAGCTCTTTACCCTGATCTTAACCTTCTCAACTAAATATCTGTACCCACATGCACAGCGACGACAAGCCAACAAACTTTGCTTAGCTCACATACAGCAATCAATTGAAGGCCTTTATTGGCACAGATCTGGTATCCAGCCAGTGGGCCACACCTGGGACTGAAAATGTGGGCAATAGGCTACAACCAGAGTCACCCCTCTTTTGACCTGTGGTTGAAAAGGTCAATACCTTATTTATTTCCCTGTCAGAAAATGTATGTTTTTGTAGTTTGTCTGAGATCTGGCCCACAGTTTAAATACCAGATGTGAGTGAATAAAGGCCAGCAATTTATGGATGTACCTAGGCCACATGAAGGACTTCTATTGGCCCACCACTTGTCTAGACTGATTTTGTTCCAAGGAGACTTGACCTCCGCAAAGTTGTAGACCTGCGTCGGTATTCTCACAATGATGGTTTTTCAAACTACGTCCTTACGGCCGAGTACACACACACACATGCACACACACACGCACACACAAACACACACCGCCTATGTAACAACAAGGGTAATTAGTCTACAGAAGTGTAAAATTGATTGTCAAGTCCCGGCCATCTCTGTCCATTCTTCCAGGCACATTACATCATGATGTTGTGAGACAGTTTCACAGAAAGCAAAACACAAATAATGTGAAAAAGAATATATTATATTTATCAAAAAAAATTAGAAATTGTACAACCGCATCACTACTGTACAGTTCGCCCAATGTGCACATGTGCATCTTTAATTTACAGGTACTATGTTCCTGGCAAACCTTTTTTTTATTATCATTTTTGAATGTTTATTTATTTATTTATTTATTTACTTATTTATTTCAAACCTGTTGCTTTTTGTAAAGAGAGGAACAACAAAATGGAAGTGCTTGTATATTATTATGATTATTATTGACTTTTTTCCACTGGTGCTCCCACTAGTGGAAAAAAAACGACAGTTGCACATTCTCCTGAGCATATTCTGAGGGCTGTGTTTTCTGTCCATTGAACAGCCCGTGACGTGTGCAGAAGTGTGGAGATGTCTAAAGTCTCCTTAGACCCGAGACACTACACTGTAAATAAAGAACAGGAGATACGCATGTGTATCTCAATATGATCTGAATGGACAAAGTAAAGACACAGAGAGGACAAAGAACCGGAGGGCGACGCAGAACTAGAGGGTCCAGAAGTGCAACACATACACCTGTGTGTTGTCTAGGCTGCTCTTTTAGATCTGCTGCAAGTATTTACTGCCAAGTGATGAGACAAAAGGAAAAAGAATTTTTGCATTCTTCATTATTATACATACTGTTGTAAATATCACGTATGGAATGGTCCCCTCCTTCATGCACCATGCAGTGCTGTTCCGCAGACAGAAAATGCAGCCTTTACCTGTGCTGAAATTAATTTCCAAAAAGACCAAAAAAAGACAAAAAACATGACAAAAAAACAGAAAAATAAACAAACAGAACATAAAGATTATTGAATATATTAAAGAGTTACTTGCCTGTTATTTAAGCGAATAAATATCTATATATGAGAAAGAACACACCTGTATACTGTAGACTAAATCTGTACGGAAATCTAAGAGAATTTAATGGAAATTAAGTCCAACACCTTTTGTCTGTATGAAAGAAAAAATACATCAAAGTATTCTACAATAATAACTTTGACAAAGTATGTGTGGTCTTGTGTTGTTTGTTCACAATATTAACAGACAAACAGGTATAATTAACGCCTACCAGTGTGATTTATTTCTTTTTAATATTGGAACATGCTAATTAAGAAGTCATTGGTGTTTCTTCCCCGAAAGCAAAAGAATCATTGGTTCCCACTCCACCTCGAAGACAGGAGGTTTGCAGGTCAGGAATCCACAACTTTTCTCATCAAAAGAGATATTTTAATGTTTTTTTTTCACCAATTAAAACTCAGCAAGAGCATTTGAGAGAATTAAATGGCAGTAGTAGTTTAGTATATTCATTTTAAAGTACTGTAGTTGAATTTCCAGTTAGAGAGGACTGTGGCGTATGATATGCAATTTAAAAGCAAACTGAAACTGAAAGTTTTGTATTCCACAGTATCTGACACTCATGGATAAGTTAGTCACCTACAGGCGGTGCAATACACACTGCTATATATATATATATATGTATATATATATACTATATATATATGGATGTTTTTGCTTTTAAAAAACAGCCATACATCTGGTACATTCACCAACATTACATAAAATCTCACAGGGAGCCAGTGTAAAAAGGCACATGTGGCACAGTAGCCTCATGTTGCAGACCTCTGAACTAGGTTAATCCCGACTCAATGGTTTGGGAAGGAACTATGTGGGATTGCACTCATCCCTGGTTAGTCAGTAAATGAATGTCCTCTGCTCCTAAATAATGGACTGTACTCCAAATAAGTCTTCTCAACACATTAAACTACATAGGAAATCCACGTTTTGTAAATTTGGAAAGCGACCATTGGAAACAGTGTTGACTTGAATATTTCTCATAATCGTTACAAGACTGTCTACGTCTATTAGTAATGGACATCTTTGCTGCCATTGTAGGAACAATTCTGTCACAGGAAAACAGTTTTGTTTCCAATAAATAAAACTGAAGTTTGGGTGCTCCCTGTGCCATGTAACTCGATACTTCATACATTTTTGTCTGAATATGAGATCAAAATCAAGTTAAACGAATTGAGGTCGTTACGTGGATGAGACATTTGTCGCACTTCGGTCGTATAATAAAACTACATTTCCTAGCATTCACCTTATCCACGTAAACTGAAGAAGAATGTTATTCAATATTATATTAAAATTGTTTTTTATTGACTTTTAATTTAAACGTAAGACAACATGTGTAAAAAAAACATTTAAAACAGTAATAGATAGGACATATATGTATTAATGCAAAAATAAGTTGTCCTCGACGCATCCTCGTCCTTATGACGAAGCGGAAGTACATTCTTCTTCCTTTCCTCCATTAGGTGAGTGCGTGGTGGGAGCGCGTTTTACTGTGCTCTGAGAAGAGAATGCGTTTTTGTGGTGTTATATAAAAATCTTACCTCCCCTTCTGTTAACTAAACAAATTTCGTTTGTTTTTATAGAGATTGCAACCATGGGCCGTCGTCCAGCCCGTTGGTAAGTTTTCTACTCTGTCTTTTAAAGCAGGCCTGAGGAAGAGAGGTGGCTCTCAGGGAAAATGGCAGCGGCTCCGGTTAGCACCATGTGCACCGGTGCTGTAAGAAGAAGAAGTAGTAGAAGCTTCATGTTATACTTTTGATTTATCCTAAAATGCCGTTTTAATGTCGTGTCCTTTTACATTTTCAAACGGCCTACCTACCAAAGCTTGGTCAACTTGACTTAGAAAGTAATGTCACGCGTTGTCACAACGCGTCAGCTAACGCGCTATGTGTAATTAGCGTGAAGCTAATGCTAGTTTTAATTATTTTTTTATTTAGGTTTGGGCCGCTCGGTGCATGGGAATTGCTCTATTTAGATTCATACGATTATATGGTACACCGTATTACTAGAATTGGGAAAAATCTGTCATTAAACGGCGTTTGTGTAGTTGCATATAAACATTGAATGGGATTCATCCTCTGTTCTATCTAGTCAACGTTTTTTAATCTATTCCTAATTAGTTTGTTCATGTAAGTCACATTTGCGTAGTTCCACAAACATAAAAAAAGTCAAATGTTTCTATTTAGGATTAGCATTTTTCCACTACATGACCTAACCATTAGCTGCAGTCTTGAATGAATAACACTGATTAACACTAATTAATAATCTGTCCCGTGGTGTGTAATGTAGACCTAGTTGAAAACCTTGAATCTTTTTAACTATGTAAAGGTATAAATAGCTTTTGCGTGAGTTTGTAATTAAACAGTATCATACTTGGGTTTAGCTGGTTAAGCACAAGTTAATGTAGTTTATATATTTTTACATATATATTCATTAATTCACACAGTGTAGGTAATTTTGTGTTCATGTTAACACAGAAAATTAAAATAAAACACAAAATTCAAATGTTACACAAGTTGCAAATAAAACGTTGAGAAGGGTGTATTGTATTTGTTTTTAATTAATTTGTTTCTGTTCTCCAGCTACCGCTACTGCAAGAACAAACCCTACCCCAAGTCCCGCTTCTGCAGGGGTGTTCCTGGTAAGTTTTTATCCTAACTCAGTGTCTAAAAAGGAAGAAGGAGGAAGAAAGAATGAGTACTTCATTGTTCCTGATAGAGAAATTAACTGGCATTCATATCTGTCCTCATTTAATTAATAATGGTGTCAGAGACTGTCTTTAAATGATGATTTTGATGAGAAGTGTTCACGTGCTAATAATTTTGGTTATTCATTTTCTTGGATGGCACTGTTATTGTTCCAAAAAGCATGTGACCTTCAAAGATCAGGAACTATGTTTTTAAATTAAATTAATGGGCTCTTTCCTGAAATTAGTTACCTGATGTTTTCATGTGATAATTCTGCAGCTTATTAAGCCGACCAGTTCTGCTCCAGTGCGTCTCTGGTGTGCAAAGGCTGCAGACAGTGACTCTGTGGTTGTGTATGTCCTCAGCTGCGAGGTGCTGAGTGCTTTAAGGGACCACTGAGACAAACGTGTCTTAATGAGTTTTAATATAATCCATAGCATTTTCTAATTTTATTGCATTAATAACTAGGCATATCTTTGCTCTGAATCTTGTACAGTTTGATTTAATTTGCTTTCTATTTTTTACCTTCTAGATCCTAAGATCAGGATCTTTGACTTGGGTAGGAAGAAGGCCAAGGTAGATGAGTTCCCCCTTTAATTTTTTAACTCTAACCTGAAATATTTAATCTTCCACTAATTTGATCAAGCTGTTTTACCAAAATAAAGATTCTGAAATCATTCCTAAGGTTGATTTTTCTGTGTTACTGTGATGTGGATAAATACATGCAAATGCTACATCAACACTAATCAAAAAGGTTTCTTTATCACATTGAATTCAATGCATTGTCTGGGTGAAGGTCACGTGGACCAAACTATTCACATTGAAAACATCACAATATGTTGTCCTAAAATAAAGTGTCTCTTTGGTGACCGTCTCTAGCTCTGGAGGCTGCCCGTATCTGTGCTAACAAGTACATGGTCAAGACCTGCGGTAAGGACGGTTTCCACATCCGTATGCGCCTGCATCCCTTCCACGTGATCCGCATCAACAAAATGTTATCATGCGCTGGAGCTGATAGGTGAGTGTCGTGGATATTTGATGTTTCTTAGGCTGTTGATGTTAGAAGCTTTAGATATCAAGATGTTAATGTTGTTTTATTTCCATTCCCAGGCTCCAGACTGGAATGCGTGGTGCTTTTGGCAAACCCCAGGGTACCGTGGCCCGTGTGCACATTGGTCAGGTGATCATGTCTGTGCGCACCAAGACCCAGAACAAGGAGCATGTGATCGAGGCTCTGCGTAGAGCCAAGTTCAAGTTCCCTGGACGCCAGAAGGTAAAGAGCACACTGTCGTTTAAATGGTTAATTAAGCTGTAGTAAGGAGTGGGAGTAAATGAGTGTGCACCCCCAGACCCTGCAGCTTATTAAGCCGACCAGTTCTGCTCCAGTGCGTCTCTGGTGTGCAAAGGCTGCAGACAGTGACTCTGTGGTTGTGTATGTCCTCAGCTGCGAGGTGCTGAGTGCTTTAAGGGACCACTGAGACAAAAATACTCACCAGGAGGTTTATAGTTCATATCGATGTCACATTTCTAAATGGAATTATCATTCTCGCAACAGATCCATATCTCCAAGAAGTATGGCTTCACCAAGTTCAACGCCTGTGACTTCGATGACATGATGGCTGAGAAGCGTCTGATCTCAGACGGCTGTGGAGTGAAGTACATCGCCAGCAGGGGTCCTCTGACCCGCTGGAAGGCCCTTCATGCTGCATAGGCTTTCTGACAGACAACCAATAAAAGTGCGTTTAATTACCAACAGTGATGGTTTTGCTCCTTATTTCACTAAGCCCGTAGTGAAATGACTCCAAAGTTAAACATGGTTTGAAACTCAGGGTGTCACACTGTACTCTGTAATAATGTTGGGGTTTGCTCTTCCTTTGTCACACATCAAACCAAAATTAACTGAACTTGAACAAGTCCTCAGATCAGTACCTGAGAACCAGATTTAGAGGGCCAACAACGGGTGTCATGTAAAGTCTTTTAGCTTATCTTGAAAGACTTGGAAATTATAAATAACATGTATCTTGTCAAAATTTAAACAGAAATGTTTCTAAGAACTGTCCAACAGGAATGAGGTTATACGTAACTGACTCAGTGAGTGATGTTATTCTAAAACCTTTGACAATGTTCATTCTTGTTGTTCATACTTTACTTAAAAAATTCTAATATGAATCTAGTACTGAATATTGGACCATCTCATCTTCTGATGTTTAATCTATGAGCCAAGAATCAGTCTAAGACTATGATGTGGATAGTGAATGAGAAACCACAGTAGTTCATTCATATTAGTTCATACGCTCACTAACTTTATGTTTAACCTAAAAAACACATAGATTAAACTTTGAACAAATGAAGTTAATGTTTACCCCAAAAAGAAAGCATTTTCACAAGGTTTCTCTTTTACCTCTACCCACAGATGCCATGTTTTACCAATTCTAATGATTTGACCAGCTATACATACAATCTAGGTGTGTTTGTTTTAAAGTTATAAGTTCATATTCTGTATCTGCTAAAATCACAAAACATTAATTATTCAAGTAATTATTGTGTGTTTTGAAATGAGAGTGTGTAGTACATGAGAGGTGATTGACATGATCATATCTTGTCAGGACAGGTCTGTGACTGCAGCCTGCAGCTAAGAGATTCAGAAGCTCCTCCCACAGGAAGTAGATTGTATTAACCAGCTTCAGGTTTCAGAAGGGAAGAAAATAGAGAAGCTGTGACAAAGACAGACACAAACGCTGGAGTTTAAGAAGTAACCATTTGGTAAGTGACCGGTGGCCTGAGGTGGTTTTATTCCAGAGAAATCTAGCTGTTACATTTGTTTTGGTGTGTGTGTGTGTGTTTTGACCATATCTCTCATACAACTTGTGTCCACACGTTCTGCATTTGCAGCCAACATGGGAACAGTTATAGCAGTAGATTTACATTGGACCTATGTAGTAAGTTAGTGTGAGTGTGCTGAAGCTACAGTTATGGGGTAAATACCATGGTAGTGACGGGTGTTTTGAACTGTTTTTCAGGTTTTTAGAGTTAGAGTTAGGATTGAAGTCAGTTTCAGACACATTTAGTGTATGCAGTAAAATTAAAGGAATAGATTTGTCACAGTTAACATTAAGGTAAAGGACTGGAGAATGACTTGTCTCTATATGGAGTTCTCACAAAACACAGGAAGCTCTCTGTGTGTGAATGTGAGTGTGTGTATTGATGGAAAACTGCTCATGCTCGTGTATTTTTCAAACGCTCCGTCAAGTCATGTTTTCCTATAATGCCTATAATAGACAGAGAGCAGAGCGGTGTTATAAAGCTGACGCCCTGTGTGTTTGATTGTGTTGTCTTTTTCTGTCTCTTTCTAAAATACAGTAAACACGCAGTGAATTATAAGAAATAACCCTTTAAAAATGTTTCATTAGATTACAATGTTTTTGTTTTTTGCTCATAAATTTTAAAAAAACTCATTAATGAGGGTGCTTAAAAAGCATTAGACCTAATAATTACAGTGTATACTAAATGTAATACTAACATTAAATATTCATCAAGTACTATCAAACATGTCGCGAAAATATTTAATTACCACATATACACGTATTGTGGTTAAAAAAAAGAAGAAGACATTTTTACTACAGAATTGTGAAATGATTTAATAATCAACATTATGTTACCCTCATTACATTACATTAAAATATGTAATTATTTACCAATGGATAAAACTCAAACGAAACAGTTGGCAATGAAATGCTACAGTTAGAAAATAACTGCACTGCAGCACTGAGGTGCTGGAAAGGATTAAATGATAGTTTGTTTTTAGGAAAACTAAATTTACTTTGGTTCATATAGATTTTAAAAAGCAGAAGTCATCTGAGCCTTGGACAAAAACGTTTGTCACGTGACTTCTAACAAACACTGGTCAACTTTTCATCAGCTGACAGCAGCGTCTGTCTTCAATGATTAACACAACACTGTCTCAGTCCTGTTCCTTCAGATTGTGTTGATGAGCTTTGGGCGAAGCTGATGGGACTTCTTTCCCCTCGGTGTTTCCAGGCTTTGTCTAATCACAGGAAAGGGAGTTTCGGCTGAATGTAGTTTACAGAATGTCAGAGCTGCCACACAGAACATCAACCTCCTGGGTTCACTGGAAATAAGTGAAGATCGAGGCATTCATTTTGACCTTGGTTAAAATTAATTATTTTGGTCTCTCGGGAAACAGGAAGGATAATTATGGTCATGTGACATGATAGCAGTAGGACCATGGTAACCACTGTTTATAGTTAACACACAAACCCTTCACACGATCTGCTGCTAAAGGTTTATTAACTTATAGGTTAATTTTCAAACCATTTTGTTTAATCGATTTGAATTATTGTCAAGTTGAGTCATTGTTCGACTTTGTTTTCCTACAATCCTCTGTTGCTGCTTTTTTATCCACAAAATGATTGCAGATTTGAGTGACATTTGGTGCCCAGATTTTTATGTAACAACAGTTTAATAACAGTTTAATTTTCAGGCCAGGCTGTTTAATAACAGCCTGGCCTGAAAATACCAGTTATTCATGAAGCTAAGATTTCCATTATTATTATTTTGCAGAGTTCCAACGTCTGTGCCATGAGGTTGTCCTTCCTCCTCCTCCTGCTCCTCTTCCTCGTCGGAGTGAACGATGTTGAAGGGGCGTCAGAGTTTAGAGTGTGTGCCTTCAACCTCCATCACTTTGGTGAATCCAAGACTAGAAAAGATGCTGTGATGCTCACGCTGTCAAAGGTAGGATTCCTCGATTACATTTTCACCGCAGGAACTAGGAACTGTTTTAGGAACTGTATAGTTCCTCAGCA